TTGTTTATTGCCTTGACATCTGCTGGGAGGGCGTTCCACAGGGCAGGCGCCACTACCAAGAAGGCCCTCTGCCTGGTTCCCTGTAATCTTACTTCTCGCAATGAGGGAACCGCCAGAAGGCCCTCGGCGCTGGATCTCAGTGTCCGGGCTGAACGATGGGGGTGGAGACCTCTCACATGCTGTAATCAATAAAGTTGTGGCCTTTTTTAGCCCATTAACCTAATATAGCGTGTCCATGTGTCTTTCTTATCCTCAAGCGGGTGACGGGTCCTTGAATCACAGAATAGCTACCGAGACTAGTGTCCATTGATAGCCTTAACCTCAATGAATTTCTTTAATCCCCTTTTAAATCCACCCAAATAGGTGGCTCTCACTGCTTCTTGTGGGAGCGAGTTCCATAGTTTAACTATGTGCTGTGTAAAGAAGTACTTTGTTGTGTCTCTCCTGAGTCTTCCAACACTCAACTTCATTGGATGTGCCCCGAATTCTAATAGTAGGAGAGAAGGAAGTGAGGCTTCTCCTAATCCACTTTTCCCCACACCTCTGCTGTGTCCCCATAACTACCTGACTCACCCCTTTTAATTTCAAAAAGCCCAGAAGCATCTCCAGCCAGAAGCTGTAGAAGAGACCTGCACAATTTGGGAGTCACTAAGCCAAATGGAAACCATTGGCCATGTAATGTAACTTGCAAGTTGCTTGAGAGCACGACTCTGCCCTGCCCTGCCAGAGGAAAATTTATATCGCCAATTCTTAATTGGCTTCCAGGTCGATCCACACAGGAAGTGACAGTTGAACTCCTAGCAGATAAACACCCAAACATTACAGGCCAGGTAGCCAAATTTGTGCTGTCAACCAAGAAGCTCCGTTCCAGCTGTGTGAATGCGCTCCAATCTTAAATGTTAATGTTGTAAATTTCTTTTATGTTGCAAACTGCTACAGGTTACATTGTATGAGTTTAGAGGAAATTTTCCTTTTATTCTCTGTTGTCCATTGTAAAGGTATTTGACTATATACAATAAATTTGATTGAGATTGAGTTGAAAATGACCATGAGGGTCATCTAGTCCAACCCCCTGCAATGTAGGAATCTTTTGCCCAGCGTGAGGCTTGAACCCACGACCCAGAGATTAAGAGTCTCATGCTGTACCAACTGAGCTATCTACTATACTGCCGTATTATATTTTAGGTCTCCGGGCCAAAAAGCAGTATATAAACAAACCATAATGTAGCATAACATGCGATAATTTAACGTTAACACAACATACATAATACCGTATAACAAGATGCATTAACATAACAGGAGGAGATAACATCTTGCAAAGTCTTTGATTAATCTATGCATTTTGTCCTCTCTTAAAAATGAGTAATTGAACCGCAGAGTATTTGACCATAGATACTGTTAACTTTATTATGAGAACAAAGGGCGGCGGGTTGGGGGGGGGGGAGAGACAGTATCAAGACATGTTTAACGAGTCGTAGACATCTGGTCTGCTCTCAGAGGAATACGGTATAAAATTAGCATATGATTACCATAATATGTGAGCACCTTCGAAAGCAGATTTAGATGACTCGGCGGAAAGTACACTTGACCAGCAAGCATTTAATTACAGTATATTGAAGTGGCCCAGAAGCCTTTTGATTCAGAACATAAGCAGAAGATAATTGGTAGAAGACTACAGAAGTAGAAGACAAAACAAAGGATTGTTCGGAAGGGATCTTTTGCTGCCAATGTCAAACCAGATTTTTAACTCTGTGGGCAATGCGGTACTTAGTCATCCTTTTACAGAGCTGAGTTGCAATGTCCAGCAGAATCAAGTGGTAGAGCCAATCAGAGCAGGGTTGGACAAGTGTACCCGAGTCACGAATGGAGGATGCAGACGTGGCATGGGGAATCTTTTTCAAACTAAGGGCCATGTTTGCTTCTGCACAACCTTATGGGGGCCACAGGCCAGTTGTGTGTGAACCCAAAGGCAAAAGTGTGAGGAGCAGTGGCATAGCATGGGGCGATTGTCCAGGGAGCAAAATTGTTAGGAGTGTAATTTCAATATCCGGCGCTGTGTGCACAGCTGTGTGCTTCCGTCGCTGGGCTCTGTTGAAAACGGCTTCTCTATATGAACCAGGAAGTGATCTCTCCAAACAACGGAACGACTCTTCTTTTGTTGTGTCCATGGCTGCAATCTCCTGGGTGACACGGATGCCATTAGGAAGTTGAATGAACATGCATGCTCCACCTGCTTCCATCCCCACCACCCTTCCATGAGGCCCCGGGCACTGGCAACCCCTGCTATGCTGCTGGGGAAAGTGTTACTTTTGTACAGTAGGCTGGTTTCTAGAAGAGTTTGGATTTGATATCCCACTTTATCACTACCCGAAGGAGTCTCAAAGCGGCTACCATTCCCCTTTCCCTTCCTTACCTACAACAAATGCTCTGTGAGGTGAGTGGGGCTGAGAGACTTCAGAGAAGTGTGACTAGCCGAAGGTCACCCAGCAGCTGCATGTGGAGGAGCGGGGAAGTGAACCCGGTTCACCAGATTATGAATCTCCTGCTCTTAACCACTACACCACACTGGCTCTCCACTGTATCTACTTCCTGTCCTTATCCAGGCAATCACAAAACCTTATCAGAGTTCAAAGGTGTGGAGCAGGACTGCTGAGTGGTGTGGCCTGAGGAAAGAGGGTGTGGCCTGTGGAGAGCCTTTGAACACCACTCCTGGTGTTTCAAATTGGATGCCTGAACTCCCTCAGCCAGAAAGAATTGCTCTGTATTTGATCATGAAAATAGCAAAAAGTGAGGTTCCTACCTAGGCCCAGCAAGCTCAGATACTTTGTACTACTTGGCAGTGGGCGGTGGTTTTCATTCCTCCTCCTCCTACCAGAAAAAGCTCAAAAACTCAAGTTCACAGAGTCCTATCAAGTAAGCTCATTAAACTAGATTGCAGGTAGAGATGTGCATTCATTTGCAAAATGAGCAAAAAAATGAAACAAGTACACCCCCATCTCTTTCTAATTTGTTTCTATGAGAAATGAATGAAAATATAGAGAAGAGAGAAACAATTTGAAATATACTCGGAGTCCTGTAGTGATTTCATGCTCTTTATTGCAGCTTGTAAAACAGTGATTGAATTGCCCCCCAAACCTCAGGCTTTTATATACAATATTTACACAATGAGTCCCGTCTGATTGGCTGATTCTGCTTCCCTCCTGGAGCCTGATTGGTCTTTTCCTGCAGGCCAATCAGTTGTTGCATTCTAGGATCCTACCAGCCTAACAGGCTGATTAATTTCTTCCTGGAGCCTGATTGGTTTTTTCTTGCAAGCTAATCACTAGTTGCATTCTAGGATCCTACTTGCCTATTGTTCTAGGATCCAAGCTTAGTACATACACAATTGAAAGCCCTTTTGTTTCTCCCATTCATTTCTCATAGGTGGGATTTTTGGAACTGAGATGAATTGAGGTCCATTGCTTAGAAAAATCACCTAAGTTGACAAATTTAGGGAACATTATTGTTATGAGGGGTTTTTTTGCGGTGAGTAAGCTGTATGCTGAGACCCTTCCAATCCCTGGATTAAACTCAAAGGTCTGGAAACCAAGCCTTATGAGGAACAGTGGAAGGAGCTGGGTATGTTTAGCCAGAACAGAGGAGACTGAGGGGAGATATGTCAGCCATCTTCAAATATTTGAAGGGCTGTCACATGGAAGAGGGAACGAGCTTGTTTTCTCCTGCTCTGGAGTGTAGGACACAAACCAATGGCTTCAAGAAACAAGAAAGGAGATTCCGACTAAACATCGGGAAGAACTTTTTGACAGTAAGAGCTGTTTGGCAGTGGAACGGTCTCTCTTGGGAGGTTGTGGGCTTGCCTTCCTTGGAGGTTGTTAAGCAGAGGTTGGATGGCCATCTGTCATGAATGCTTTATCTGAGATTCCTGCATTGCTGGGGTTGGACTAGATGGCCTCTGGGGTCCCTTCCAACCCTACAGTTCTATGGTTCTATGATTCTAAGACAGGGGTCAGCAACCTTTTTCAGCCATGGGCCTGTCCACCATCCCTCAGACCATGTGGTGGGCCAGACTATTTTTTTTTGGGGGGGATGAACGAATTTCTATGCCCCACAAATAACCCAGAGATGCATTGTAAATAGAAGCACACATTCTACTCATGTAAAAACATGCTGATTCCCGGACTGTCCATGGGCCGCATTCAGAAGGTGATTGGGCCACATCCGGCTCCTGGGCCTTAGGTTGCCTACCCCTGTTCTAAGACAATGCATTTTATCCATTCAGCTGCAGCTTCTCTGCAGACACTTGTATTTACATTTGTAAAAATAGCCAACGGGAGGTCAAGGTGCAAGCCAGAAACCTCCTTGCATTCCTCAAGACTTGTGTTTTCAGCCTTGCATCACACCTGCTGCTTCAGATTGAAGCAGTTTTATCTGTTGACATTTTTAAAAATGCAAGTTTATGTATCAGAAGCCCGGTATATCAAAGCTCATATCCCTGAGAACGAAAGGAATTAACTGGCAGTCTTTGGCTCCCAATCTTTAAAATGTCCTTACAGGGCTTTGTCCTTGTTCTATAAAGAAACAGATATAACATCTTTAAAATGAATGCCTGAGGGGTGGGGGCAGAAACAATGCCTTTTTGAATACAAAGGACAGCAGCTGCAACTCAGATCCTCATGGCAAACAGTACACCAGGGTTATGGGTTAGGAAAATATTAGTAGGATCGCTGTATCACGTACAGAACTGTCAATATCGGCAGCCCACTGCAAAGCAAGAGAAGCAAATATTTTTGCGTGGGTGAGAAGCTTGCCTCAAGGAGCTTGCAATTAAAATTATAGCCTGTAACCTCTCTGCGAACAGCTGTTCAGCCGCAGCTCCCATGTTGCTGAAGTATTCTGTGAATTGGTTTTCATAGAAAGTATTCTATGAATGAAAAGGGGAGGAAATCAAGATTGCCCACTACACGAAGGGAAAACAAATCGTTTCGAGCATCAAGTCTATTGCTTAACTGCTCAGTTGGTAGAGCACGAGACTCTGAATCTTAGGGTTGTGGGTTCGAGTCCTGTGTTGGATGGAGAAGATGGAGAAGCTTGGAGGGCCACATTTGGCCCCTGGGTTTGAATTTCCCCACCACTGCTGTAAAATATACTGCTGTTTTAAACTCAGCGGTAGAAGATTTGCTTTGTATGTGAAAGGTTGCCGGTTCAATCCTCAGCATTCCCAGTTAGTGCTGGGGTCGGGGAAGACTCTTGCTGGAAACTATGGTCTATCACTGCCAGTCTGAGCTGACTTCTCTTGCTGTAAGGCATCTTCCAAAGTAATAGCTCTCAATTTAATAGCAACCCTGTGTTTTGGGGAGGAGGCGCAATCTTTGCAAGCGTAGTGATAATCCACCCTTTCAGATAGAGGTTCCTCCTTCTCCAAATAAAAATGTGCATTTATGTAAAAGGAATTAGATAAACACAATTGTTTTCCCCCGCACAAAGGAGAAGACAAGAGAGATGACGGGTACAAATCCAGCCTGGGGAAAGATATCTGTTGTAACATGTCTTGCATTTTTAAGAAATTTGCATGAAATTAGCAGAGGAAGATGTGAATTGCTTTCCAATGCAGATATTTTCCAGGAAATCGCTGGCATATTACCAGATTATATATCTCTTTATGGTACATTTTGTAATGAAGGGTGAGATGCCAGTGGCGAGGACAAAGGAGTTCATATTTTGCAATTTAATACATGGCTTTTACCCTACTGGCTTCAGCAACACGGAAACAAAGTTTTAAGTATGTTAGAAGAGCCTACTGGATCAGGCCAATGACCCATCTAGTCCAGCATCCTGTTCTGACAGAGGCCAACAAGATACCTGTGAAAAAGCAGCAGGCAGGATTCGACCATAAGAGCCCTCTCCCCTCCCGTGGTTTCCCGCCACCATACAGTGGACGCTCGGGTTGCGAACGTGATCCGTGCGGGATGCACGTTGGCAAACCGCAGAGTCTGCAACATGCAGCAGCACATCTGCACATGCGTGGGTTGCGATTCAGCAGTTCTGCGCATGTGCAAAGTGCAATTTAGCGCTTCTGTGCATGCACAACTGCTGAAACCCGAAAGTAACCCATTCCGGTACTTCCGGGTTTCAGCAGTCTGTAATCCGAAAAAATGCAACCTGAAGCATCTGTAACCCTGGCTTGAGAGCAGTACATGTGAAAAGGATCTAGGAGTCTTGGTTGACCACAAACTTGACATGAGCCAACAGTGTGGCGCGGCAGCTAAAAAAGCCAATGCAATTCTGGGCTTAATCAATAGGAGTATAGCATCTAGATCAAGGGAAGTAATAGTGCCACTGTATTCTGCTCTGGTCAGACCTCACCTGGAGTACTGTGTCCAGTTCTGGGCACCACAGTTCAAGAAGGACACTGACAAACTGGAACGTGTCCAGAGGAGGGCAACCAAAATGGTCAAAGGCCTGGAAACAATGCCTTATGAGGAACGGCTAAGGGAGCTGGGCATGTTTAGCCTGGAGAAGAGGAGGTTAAGGGGTGATATGATAGCCATGTTCAAATATATAAAAGGATGTCACATAGAGGAGGGAGAAAGGTTGTTTTCTGCTGCTCCAGAGAAGCGGACACGGAGCAATGGATCCAAACTACAAGAAAGAAGATTCCACCTAAACATTAGGAAGAACTTCCTGACAGTAAGAGCTGTTCGACAGTGGAATTTGCTGCCAAGGAGTGTGGTGGAGTCTCCTTCTTTGGAGGTCTTTAAGCAGAGGCTTGACAACCATATGTCAGGAGTGCTCTGATGGTGTTTCCTGCTTGGCAGGGGGTTGGACTCGATGTCCCTTGTGGTCTCTTCCAACTCTATGATTCTATGATTCTATGATTCTAACCCGAGGTATGACTGTATTCAGAAGCATTGTTGCCTCCTACAGTAGTTGCCTTCACAGTAGTAAAGTAGCCATCGATAGCCTGATTGTGATGAACGAGGGTCAGAAAGGAAATACATCTCTACTGCCAAGCCAATCCAGTCTGGGGATCCAACCAGTGCGTTCCAGGCAAGTCATGGGATTTCTGTAGTGGAGACATCTCTGGTCATGGTCAGGAACCCTGGTGAGATGTAAGAATCAAGGGGGATTCTAATCCATTATCTTGGGCATGGCTTGGACTGGAGCGATTTGCCTCTTTCTCACCTTCTGGCCTCTTACCTCTCTGTCTCTGTCACTCTTCTCCTCAAGTGGCTGGTTGTGAAGCTGCCATGTTGCGACTTTTGATGTCATCTCAGGTCCCTAAAGCCGCATTGACATCTCATTCAGATGTCCATACCAAAGGAACAACAGGTGTGGCATCTCATACCCCAAAAGGAAAATATAACAGGATACTCTTGGGCGCGGGTGGCGCTGTGGGTTAAACCACAGAGCCTAGGACTTACCGATCGGAAGGTCGGCGGTTCAAATCCCAGCGATGGGGTGAGCTCCCCTTGCTCGGTCCCTGCTCCTGCCAACCTAGCAGTTCGAAAGCATGTCAAAGTGCAAGTAGATAAATAGGTACCGCTCTGGCGGGAAGGTAAACGGCATTTCCGTGCACTGCTCTGGTTCGCCAGAAGCGGCTTAGTCATGCTGGCCACATGACCCAGAAGCTGTACGCCAGCTCCCTTGGCCAATAAAGCGAGATGAGCACCGCAACCCCAGAGTTGGCCACGACTGGACCTAATGGTCAGGGGTCCCTTTACCTTTACCTTACTCCTGGTTGTGTGTTGTATTAAGGCAGTGAGAATTAACAGTTGACTGCCCCCTTAAGGACATCCCCGTCTGCAGATGTCCTCTGCCTCTTTCCCTGTGAACTAGGAGAAACCCTACTGCAGGTCTTTGTTAAGAACCCTGCCAGGGATCTATAGAAAACCCCACCTAATAATCTGTTTCTTTTACCAACCTGACTCAATGACTGAGGTCCAATACGCTTCACAGGTGACAAGGCAAGCATCTTGGCTGTCCAGAAAGCTGCTGTTGCCGCTTTCAAAATCCAATTCCCAGCCCACACTGACAGGAACATAGCTGTCAATTTTTCCCTTTTCTTGCAAGGAATCCTATTCGGAATAAGGAAATTTCCCTTTAAAAAAGGGAAACGTTGACAGCTATGGCAGGAACAATAATCCAATGTCTATGGGAGACAATGAGTTATTGGTTCATTAATCAAGGGAACATCTGTATCGGTGGAATGCATTCATTCATACACATCTCATTAAAGAAGATCTCATTATCTTTAAGTCACTTTCTCCAAAAATAAAACTAAAATATATTTTGCTTGCAACCCTCTCCCTAGTTTAGCACTTTAATTCCAAGAGTCTCAGAGTGGGTTAATGCCCCTCTCTGCCCCCAGCCTTCCAAGAAATCTATTGTGACAGCTTCCTTGAATACTTAACTGGCAGTGACAGGCAAGCTGCAGGATCAATAACTAACCCTTTGGTGCAAGAGGCAATCTCAGACAATTATTTGCATGTCATGTTGAGCCACTTGGAGGCTGAAATATTGTTCCAAGCCCTCATCCAAAGGGACATCTGTAAATATGTATTTTCAATTGACTCCCAGCGCCTTGGGATGTACTTGAATTATTCTCAAGTGAATATTCATGAAGTTTGACAGCAGCGTTTACCACTCCATTACGGCAAAATTTAAGAGTATTGCAGCAGTGCTTGAAATGCATGTTGCCATGACATGGAAGGAAAACAAATCTACACCAAACCTTTATTCTATTGATTGATTTGGAAACCATACAAAAAGAGTATATATTTTTTAAGGCCTGATTTTATTTATTTATTAATATCGTCATCATAACAGTATACATAATTAGATCACAAAATGAATAAGGCTGTTTATCATAATGGAATAAACAACAAAACCACAGTCCCTTAAGAGCCATTTCACGATTATGCTACTAACTAAAATCTTAAGCAAAAGATGTACTTTCTATATTTCCTACCTGCTAAAATCCTGGGTTAAAATAATTATGAAGCCCCTTGTTCACAATTTCCTTGATTTATCTCATAATAAAGCATATATATATCCATTTTCCATAGTGCTCCTTCACAAATATTAACACATTGGCAATCCATAAGCCTTATTTGGTTTGAAGCCATATCTCTTACGACAATCAACAAATTTCTGCCATTTTACCAAGACATTGACTTGCCTTTGTCTCGAAAGCTCAACAACTTTGGCTAACTCCCCTCTAAAAGCTCAGCAAATCAGGGCATTCTCCCCCCCACCCCACCCCCCAAAAAGCTCAACAACTATTGATTTCTCCATTTGGGGTTAAAAAGGGGGGGGGTGTTGTCTTCTACATGGGGCATGGAAAAATATGGTAGTCTTAATCATGGGCATAGCCGGGGGTTTTGTTAGGGGAGTAGGCTTTTGTTGGGGAGGACGCAGAACCTAAGTTAGTTAAGTATTTTTTATTGATTTTTATTTAGGGGGGCAGCTGCCACCCCCTGCCCACCATGGCTACACCTGTGGTTTTAATTCTATTGATGCTCATTTGTTTTTAATTGTTCCCCACCACCATGTCTGTAGCCGTTCTTATTTTACCTGTCAGAGAAGAAGGCAGGGTATTAAATTAACAACAACAACAACATCTGGAGATGATGGGGAATGAAACCAGGAAGCAGATGCTCTACCACCATGTTACAGCCAAAAATGGCTTGCTGGGTGGGGAGAAGCTGCAATGACAGAGCACAGCAGAGGTTATATTTTCTGAGAATCCTCCGGAAAAACAATCTCTCAAAGGACCTGTTGATGGCATTCTATCATTGTATTGTGGAGAGTGTATTAACTTATGGTCTGTGTGTGTGGTTTGGGAGCTGCACGGTCAGGGGGAAAACAATGCTGTCCAGGTTTGTAAAGACTGCAGAGAGAATAATTGGGTGCACTCTTCCCACCTTGGATCAAATCTATGCTGCCAGGTGCCATAAGAAAGCTGCAGAGATAGTACAGGATAGTGCGCACCCCGGAAATGATCTCTTTCAGCTTCTGCCTTCTGGAAGAAGGTACAGGGTTATAAAGACCAGGACTAGCCACCTGAGAAACAGTTTCTACCCAAATGCAATTCTGGTTTTAAATACAATATAAGGAGTCTCTATAGTATATTGTATTTTAAAAAGGGGTTTCAGAGTTTTTAGGGGTTTTTGAATGTCTTACGTAGATTTTTCGATTTCATGGTTCTGTACGGGACAATGACAATAAATGTATTGTATCATATCGTATCGTTGTTGCTTACTGGAAGAGGTAGAGGTAGGGAGGTCGATTTAGTGCAAACACACCCCTGGAGCGTGTTAACTCCCCACCACCACCTATAATAATAATAATAATAATAATAATAATAATAATAAATAATTCACCTTTTTCCTCTCTTCTCCCTCCCAGTAAGCGACAGCACCTCACCTGCCAGGAAGTGAGCCTAGAAGCTCCACCCCACGCCACAAACCACTACAGCCTTTCCCTTGAATATGCCTGATCTTCTCTTAACGCAATCGAAGCTACAGTGGTACCTCTGGTTGCGAACGGGATCCTTTCCAGAGGCCTGTTCTCAACATGAAAAGAACACAACCCGCAGCAGCGCGTCTGCACATGCACGGATTGCGATTCAACGCTTCTGCGCATGCGCGTGATGTCATTTCACGCGTCTGCGCATGCGCGAGTGACGAAACTCGGAAGTAACCCTTTCATAGCTGTCAACATTTTTTTAAGGGGAATTCCCTTATTCCAAGTAGGATTCCTCGCAAGAAAAGGGAAAAGTTGACTGCTATGAATCCTTTCCGGTAGTTCTGGGCCGCCGTGGGACGTAATCTGAAAGAACGTAACATGAAGCGGACATAGCATGAGGTATGACTGTAGTTGCCATCACAGCACCTTACAGCGGCAAATCACATAAATTTGCAAAATCAAGGTTTTTAGGCCTTGTGACATCAAGAGTGCCAGAAGACAGTATGTGCAGACCTGAGGAGCAGGAGGAGGAGGAATTAACTTTTGAATATTTGCAAGCACCGAGCCAAAGAGAGAGAGGAAATAGGAAGACTGGGAGTAACTCATCTTTTGACAGTCAACATGTCATTGAATCCATATGCATGCGGACAGGAAGGTCAAGGAAATGTTTCCCAACGGAGGAGGCTTGTGGGGCCTCATCCATCAAAAACCTATTAATAATAGAACAGATTATTCACAGATAATGCAAATATAATTACAGTCACCCGGTAGCCCTGGTACGGAAAGAGCATATATTTGACATACAGAATAAACTCCATACTCCATTTTGACATACAGCCTGGGTCATTTTGGTTAAGAGCTTCAATATGGCCGCAGTAAACGGGCATTCGGCTGAAAGGCAGAAACTCTGCTCTATATTCATAGGGTAAGATTATTCGATTGGTAAACTACAAAAAAAAATAGTATTCAGTGGTTAAATGCATGCCACAAATATCAGATACATGTTGCCTACTTCAGCCTTATTGCAAGAAAACTTGGCTACTGTTCTCCATGCTTTTGGAGCTTCCATAAGGGATTGCTTCTATGTGCACCACTTGGGGCTGCCTCTTAAGGATGCCTTGGAAACTTTGACTGGTCCAAGATGCAGCCGTCAGATTACTGGCTTGGTTTCCATTTAGAGCACCTATAAAACTTATTTTAAAACAGCCGCACTTGTTACCAGCTCGTTTTTGGCACCAATTCAAATCCTAAATGACTTAGGCCACAAATGTCTGAAAGACCCCACAGAACATCTTGGGTGTTGAAATATGTAGAGGGGGCCCTCTAGGCAATCCCATCACCCTCTTAGGCTTTTTGGGGGGCAACAGAGGGCAGGCATTCTCCATGGCAGTAATGATAAGTTCATTTATACCCCAAGGCGGCTTACAGACAAGAATAGTAATAATAATTCCCTTAGAAATGACAACAAGAATCTGCCTTGCAGGCCTTTTGAAAGACCTTCAAAGAACACACGTAAAGTGCTTTGGACATTCAGATTCTAGTTGTAATTTCTATCCATTTCAGTTCCTCTCTATTTCTCATTTTTTCCAATCTTAAGTTCATTTCTCCACATTTCCACAACAGTTTGAAATATATTATAACAGTAAAAAAGTCCTCATGAAAATTCATGAGAATCCCCCCCCCCCCCCCGTGGATTACTCCTAATGAATGCCATTTTTACTAATATGCATATTTGGACAAAGTACGTAGTCTTCCTTAACATTGAAATGTTTCTGTATGTCTTCTCCACGAATGCATATGTACAGTGGTACCTTGGGTTAAGAACTAAATTCGTTCTGGAGGTCCGTTCTTAACCTGAAACTGTTCTTAACCTGAGGTACCACTTTAGTTAATGGGGCCTCCCGCCGCCACCACGTGATTTCTGTTCTCATCCTGAAGCAAAGTTCTTAACCCGAGGTACTATTTCTGGGTTATCGGAGTCTGTAACCTAAAGCGTCTGGAACCTGAAGCATCTGGAACCCGAGGTACATTAATGTGAACACTTCAGAATATGTACCGGTATTTCTGTGCACTTGACATGGCTGAGGGAACCGCACTGCAAAATTCAAAGAAGTGCAAATGTCGAAGAAGAGCTGTGTTTCAGATTGTGTATTGTTGTGTGTGTGTTTGCCTTTGAATGTGGACTGGATCAAATGTCTCCACCATCCTTAGGATTATTTGAAAGGTCTGTCACTTGTTAGAAACAAAAGAAACACACACACACACACCTCCCGAGGGAGACCTTTTCTGTGCAAATTTTCATGGCTTAAAAGAGGAATCAGCACTCGTTTTAAAAGCAGGGTCTATAATTAAGATTACAAGTATTTCCTCTTTTGCCGGATGTTTGTGTTTTGCAATAAATTCTGTTGCTTGATTTGGCTCATTACCAGCACAATATAAATATTCAGGAAGAAAATTTGTCTTTAATGAATTAGTCTGATTGCTTTAATTACATTTACAATCTGTTGTTTCTCATAGGGTTGTGTTTTTTTTTAAAAAAAGCAATTGCTTGCTTGATGTATGATTGTTTTCTCCAATGCTGAATGTAGGGGACAAGTATTACAGATAGCTCACCAACATTGACGGCATGAAATTGAAAATATATATATAAAGAATGCAATCCAGCAACATTTAAAAGAAGTAAGAGGCATGCCACTGATTTTATTGGAGTATAAATCACATCCTCTCACCCCATTCCATTGCTAGGTGCACAAGGTGACTGATAGATGCAGCTAAGGCTGTATATTGCTGACAAAAGATGCATCCGGTTCACTGTGGACCTAGATGAGCATTACAGTCGGGATGCTTTGTTCTTTCTGTCTGAAATTTGACAGGTCTGAACCTTTGCAAGGGGAGATAGGAGGACTGCCATGTCATGCCAATAGAATGGAAAACACCAAAGTTACATGAAGCAAAAGACTGGCTGGGTCCCATTGAGTCCCCATTGATTCCTATCGATGTTAATTGAAAACCTATAGGATGCATGCCTCGAAACGGGGGATCCATTGGTCCAGTCTGTTTGAAAATTGACAAGTCTTGTGCTTTTTATTTTTCGTGTGTGTGTGTGTGTGTGTGTGTGTGCTTTAATGCTTAGAGCACTTGATTGTAACAAAACCTCTAAGCAGTTTACAGGAAATATTAAAATTATTAGTAAAAACAGTTCCAAACAAATGCATTTAAAAGCATTTGTATCTTTCCATAATATTTCTTTTTCTTTTATCTTTCTTTTTATTGTCCTTTTGATTTTCTTCTTGTTCTTCTTTCTTTGGAGTCCAATGTCTCTTCTTTCTTCTTCTTTGGCGATCACTCGTAGCCAGTAAGATTGTCTTCCCTGAGCACCGTTTTAACAGTGGGTCCATAAGTGACTGTGGAGGCCAATTCTGGATCCACAAGTCCCATGTCTAGGGCCTTGACTAAGGTCCAGAGATTGTAAACTCATGGGAATGGTAGATGGAGATTGTGAAGAGGCCATGGGATGCTTCCTCGCAGCTGCCACTGCTGCCACTGCCCGGGACAATTGCTGGCTCTTCTTCGTCCCCAAGCTTGGTGGCGGCAGCACTGGAGGGGGGCAAATAAGGGCATTCCAGGATCAAATCAGGCTTTTGAAAAACTTCTGGACCATCCCTGGAGAATCGGGACACTTGGACAGTATGCTGTTCTAGGTGCTTTAAATGGTCAAAGGGTAGGAGGAAAGGTATGCCTCTATTCTACCAAGTGAGCCACTGCTGGAAAAATGTAAAAGAGTTTCCTAGACTGGAGGTATCCCTCCCTGGGACCCAAATGTAAAAGGATGCAGGCTCCAAGTGAAAAGACAGCCTTTATTGAAACACAAATGTGCATAGGGACAGCCTCAAAAATAAGAAGGAGGCTGCGAAGAACTACACCAGCCACTTATTATTGAGGGGAAGTGCATGGAACAGGTCTCGATGTTTCGATTTCTGGGAATGGAGTTGAGAGATGACCTAACCTGGGGAGAAAACAGCAAAGACCTGATGAAGAGAGCACAGCAGAGGTTATATTTTCTGAGAATCCTCCGGAAAAACAATCTCTCAAAGGACCTGTTGATGGCATTTTACCATTGTATTGTGGAGAGTGTATTAACTTATGGTCTGTGTGTGCGGTTTGGGAGCTGCACGGCCAGGGAAAAAACAATGCTATCCAGGGTTGTAAAGACTGCGGAGAGAATAATTGGGTGCACTCTTCCCACCTTGGATCAAATCTATGCTTCCAGGTGCCATAAGAAAGCTGCAGAGATAGAGCAGGATAGTGCGCACTCGGAAATGATCTCTTTCAGCTTCTGCCTTCTGGAAGAAGGTACAGGGTTATAAAGACTAGGACTAGCCGCCTGAGAAACAGTTTCTACCCAAATGCGATTTTGGTTTTAAACACAGTACAGTGGTACCTTGGGAGGTCTGTTCTTAACCTGAAACTGTTCTTAACCTGAAGCACCACTTTAGCTAATGGGATCTCCCGCTGCCGCCAGAGCCCGATTTCTGTTCTTATCCTGAAGCAAAGTTCTTAACCTGAAGCACTATTTCTGGGTTAGCGGAGTGTGTAACCTGAAGCGTATGTAACCTGAGGTACCACTGTATAAGGAGTCTCTATGGGAGTATATTGTATTTAAAAATGGGGTATCAGAGTTTTTAGGGGGCTAACCAGGTTGGGATAGCTGGGATAGCAGGCTTGTTGGTTTTTGAATGTCTTATGTCGATTTTTCAATTTTGTTGTTCTGTATGGGACAATGACAACAAAGATTATCGTATCGTATTGTATTGTATCCAAAGCAATGTTTTGTATACACTTCCTGTGATTTCTATTCACCACTTTCTCTCCAACCCCCTATAAGATGCCATAGCACCAGGTTGCAAGACACAATTACATTGATTTGCGGAGAACAATCATTCTTAAGAAAGAGTGCCTTCCTTTTCAACTGTCTGGGTTGGCCCAGCAATGCCCCCTTTCCTAAGACTGCTAACACGTTATGCAAACAGTGTATGCAAATCACTGGCGATGTTTTCTTAGCCCTCTGTTTCTAAGGGATTTTCTTTCCTCTTCGACTTATTTGCTTTTGCTTTCATATCTCCCATATCATGGTGTGATCTGTGCCAGAGCAGGGATGGGAGGAAATTCCACAGCGTCAAAGTCAAGACAAACAAGAGAACCTGTGTGGAAGTATGCAAAAGCTCCCAGGGCAGCGACTGTGACTTACCTGTGCTATACAACCTGGTGCCCTCAGTAGGTTTTTAGACTACAATTCCCATCAGCCCCAGCCATCGCAGCCATGTGCTGGGTGGGCATGAAGGGACTTGTAGGCCTGAAACATCTGGAGGGCACCAGGTTGGGGAGGACTGATTTACACACACACACAGAGAGAGAGAGAGAGAGAGAGAGATGGCTGCAGAGCAAATCAGACAGAGAGCATCTGCTTTGAATTTATCAGCTGAGCAAACACAGAAAGCAAGAGTGTTTAGTCTCTAGGCTGCCAGCACATGCTCCAAATTCTCTGCTGCTCGCTGACTTTTGAACCGTTTGGCAAACCTTCAATAAGAAATTACATCACCGATGCTCTGGAAATCCAGCCTAGCCCTGGAGTTGTGAAGAAAATAAGCAACTCTTCAGCAAAAGCCTTCATCTATGCTGAATTTCAAAGGCAAGAATAACAGCTGAGGAGCTCCACTCACTAGGAAGCGGTTCTGTGCAAGCCCCGTTGAAAAGGGAAGAAATGAGGGTCCCACCCTGGCTTACTCTGAACCGTCCATTTGGATGCAAGAATCTTTGGGACCAGAATTACATTATAAGAATTGGAGTCCAGCTCATATGGGATCAGATTTGTGATGGCCTGTGGCCAAAATAATTCCAGTCATGGCTGGAGTTCTCTGTACTACAGTCCCATGCATCAGGGAAGGCCTGGAGCTCAGTGGTAATGCATCTACAGTGGTACCTCAGGTTACAGATGCTTCAGGTTACAGACGCTTCATGTTACAGATTCTGGTAACCCAGAAATAGTACCTTGGGTTAAGAATTTTGCTTCAGGATGAGAACAGAAATCGTGTGGTGGCAAGCGAGAGGCCCCATTAGCTAAAGTGGTACTTCAGGTTAAGAATGGACCTCCAGAACAAATTAAGTTCTTAACCCAAGGTACCAGTGTACATTGCGTCTAGAAGGTCCCTGATTCCATACCTGCCAAGCGTCCCGTTGGGTAGGCAGGTGGCCGAGGGTGAGTGGAGATCGGGCAGGCAGGGTGGTACGGGGTGTGTGCCCTGCTTTGCCCTCCCAATATGTTGGAGGGCTTTAAGCTCCAGCATCTCTAAGTAGAACTGGGAATCAGTGGTGTAGCATGGGTTGCCAGTGTCTGGCACCATGCAGAGAGTGGGTGGGAGGGAGAGAAATGGATGGAGTATGTATGCACATTCAACTGCCTAGGGCGTCCGCGTCACCCAGGAGATTGCATCCGCAGCGATAAGAAAAGAAGATTTGTTCCATTGTCTGGAAGGGTCACTTCCTAGTTCACATGGAGAAGCCATTTTCAATGGAGTCCACCAATAGAAGTGTGTAGCTGTATTGAGGCAGCACTAGGTTTTGACATTTTACACCCCTAATGAATTTTGCATTCAGGGAAATCACCTCATGCCCCTCACGCTATGCCACTGCTGGGAATGTCCCCTTCTTAAAACCCTGGAGAGTCACTGGCCACTGTGGACACTACTAAACTATATGGATCAAAGATCTCACATAAGGCAGCTTCTCACATTCCTGTGTGAGAATAGTTGTGTGTATGTAGAACTGGATTTCTCGTAGGTTTGCAACCATTCATGTCTCAAAGTATGGGGTGGGGAACCTGTAACTCTCCAGACATTGCTGCACTCCAACTTTCATCAACTCCTTCCAGCATGGTCCAAAGTGGGATTACAGGAGCTATTGTTCAACAACACATGGAGGGCCACAGATTCGTCATCCCTGCCTTCAAAGGAAGGCTTGTTTCATCATTTTTGCCGAGGACCCAACCAAACCCCAATTTGTTGCCTACATGAATTAAAAATCCTGACATCTTCCCCTTTAAAAGATTCCTTCCTGCAGAAAGTGAAATGTTTGTGGCCAAAGTCATGTCAGCATCTTGGGTTTCTATTTTATTTGTGAGGATCCTGCCCCTTCAAATTTGCCAGATGAAATTCAGTGGTAGATCTGAAAGCTATTTGCTCATGGACCACCCCTCTGATGGAGGGTGGGCATGTGCCCTACTTTACAGGGGGCATTATTCTATTTGAAGGGTATGAGATAGCTCAGTTGGTAGAGCATGAGATTCTTAATGTCAAGGTCGTGGGTTCGAGCCCCATGTTGGGCAAAAGATTCCTGCATTGCACTAGATGATCCTTGTAGTCTCTTCCAACTCTTTGATTCTATGAGATAGAAACACAACCCTGGCAGGCAATATTGCTTCAGAATCTGGTTGCTGAAAGCCAAATCTGGGATTGTTGCTGGGTGGGCCTGTCACCTCCACACAATGGTTCAGCACAGTGCTAGTGAACAAAGGTTCAGCACAGTGCCAGTCTTCACTCTGGGACTGGATTCTCCTTAATCCTCAGTATTGGCATAGAATTTCATGTCAGTGCAGACAGTGAGAACTTGTGGGATGGTGCCAATGTTCTTTTGTCAAATCCAACCCATCTAAAATGTCCATTAAGATTATTGATCCTGCAGGTACTCAAGAAGAAATGAACTAGGGAGGAAAGGAAAGGGCTGTGACTCAGTGGCTGAGCATCTGCTTTGCATGCAGAAGGTCCTGCAGTTCAGTCCCTGGCATCTCCAGGTAGGGCTAGAAGAGGAGCCCTGGAGAGTTGCCATCAGTCTGTGCAGATGATCCTGAGCAAGATGGACCAATGGTCTGACCCAGGAGACATCAGCTTCCTATATTCCTATATTCTGCAGGTAATTAGCAAACTGATCCAGCTGACACTTAAGACGGTCCATTTGTGCTTTCGCGTCACGTCAGGGATCGGGGCAGGACGGTCTGGAAAATAATTTGTGCAGCTCCGAATGTTTTAGATTTACTGTGGTCTGCCAGAAAACTGACAGGACAAGTTAAAGATAAAGAATTGTAACTTAACACAGACATGACTGCTGTCCTTGAAAGGAGTTGTGCCAAACTGTTTCAGCTCAGAAGAAACAAAGTCGTAAGATAATACTTCAGATTTCCACTGATCTTTTCTCCTCCCCAGAAAGTTTACTTTTTGAATGTAAATGAATTCATCTCTACCTCGTTGCTGATGTGATGGGCAGTGACATTTACAGCGAGGTTTCAAAAAATGGATGCAGAAAAGGAAAGCGGGATGACTTAAAGGTGTTAACACTGGTTCAGCAGTGGATTAGGGTGCCTCCAAGTTGTTGCAATTTTGCAGGAGGGATTCAAGCAGACAACAAAGACACTTAGGTAAAGGTAAAGGGACCCTTGACCATTTGGTCCAGTTGCAGACGACTCTGGGGTTGCAATGCTCATCTCGCTTTATTGGCCAAGGGAGCCAGCGTACAGCTTCTGGGACATGACTAAGCCACTTCTGGCAAACCAGAGCAGTGCATGGAAACACCGTTTATCTTCCTGCTGGAGTGGTACCTATTTATCTACTTGCACTTTGACGTGCTTTTGAACTGCTAAATTGGCAGAAGCTGGGACAGAGCAACGGGAGCTCAACCCGTTGTGAGGATTCGAACCGCCAACCTTCCGATTGGCAAGCCCTAGGCTCTGTGGTTTAGACACTTACATTTAAATAATAATAATCAGACTTAATAATTAATTGTTGCTGTCGTTGCTTTGAGTATGAGAACAATACGTAATTGATTACATTTCCCTCCATTCGCGTTGTGTCTCCTTTGCATTGAAATGAACGGGGTGGAATAGCATAATGACAACACAGTTTACATAATTTCTGGAATTAAGTTATGCAATTTCACCGTGGTGGACGACAAAATGAATAACATAGTTTTTCAGCCCAACATCTTCAGCTGCAGTGGAACAGAAATATTGCTGCATGCGGTGAATCCAGGGCGGAACAGAAAATGATGCCTTCTTTAACAACAAAGAATAGATTAATAAAATAAGTCAATAAAATAAACAGCAAAACGATAAAAGCAAAATGATGCTGTCAGGCTGCTATCAGCGACTCCCATGGCCAGTTGCCCAGGAACATACAAAGACAAAGAATGTTCTTACCACCCGCTTTTTATTCAGTATTTACAGAGAGAGGCTGTAGAACCCAGCCTCTTAGATAATGGTGTTGTCCTGAGTGAATCTCCACCCCACCCACTTCTTCACTCGTCATCCTCATCACCTCCTCTACGGGTGCTGATGCGTGCCCTCAGTCTTTGAGCTCTTTGCTCTCCTACTTTCAAGGCTCACCGGGTTCTGGGAGGGTGGGTCTGGAATGCTTTCTAAAGACACTGTGTCCATCAGTTGTCACTCCCCTGGTGGTTCCTATTCTGTCTCCTCCTCTCCCATTATTTCCCAGCTTTTCCTCTCATCTGCCTCTGAGCTGTGACCTCCTTCAAATCCCTGTTGTAATTTTAAACTGTCTTCGTCTTCTCTGGGAGGGTCAGGCTGGGGAGGTGGTTTCCAACATTTTTCCTCTGCCCAGTCCCTGACAGATGCCTTCCTTACGTCGCTACTAGGAAGACATATGTGGCAATCACACAGGGTCCCCGGACGTTTAACGGTCTATTGATCCCTGTGCCACCACTGTGATCGCTTCCCCGCTACCACCAACCCGTTCCTCTCGGGTACACACTGAGTCTAGACAGCTGTTAAAATTGAACCAAATAAACAAGTTTATTTTATAAGCATTAACAAGTTTATGGCTTCTCAGATAATATTCTTGTCAGTTTCTTAACTTTAGTTTCTTTACCGGCCTATAACTTCCTTATACCTTCTGACTGATTATATCAACTATTTGACTGACTCCTCTTAACAGATTCTCTCACTCTCCCACATCAGACTAGCCCAACCCACAGACTTATCCTCTCTGTCCCTTCTCTAATTCCAGACTGACTTCTTAACAACTCTAACTCCTCCCCTTGGCTTCCTATTGGTTAGTCATTTTACAATTAGTTAACCCTTTCCTTATGAACCCAGCATGATGTCACACACCTAGGAGGGCAAACGCCACAACATACAACCATCCTGCAAAAAAATCAGGCTGAAGTCAGGATGAATGTTTATTGTTGTATCTCCATCCCACTAATAAATCATGGCAGGTACTGAATAAAAACATAACAACATCTTACCCATGCCTAAGAAGGCTTATCGGCGAGGAATTGATGCTTTTGAATTATGGTGCTGGAGAAGACTCTTGAGTGTCCCATGGACTGCAAGAAGATCAAACCTATCCATTCTTAAGGAAATCAGCCCTGAGTTCTCACTGGAAGGACAGATCCTGAAGCTGAGACTCCAATACTTTGGCCACCTCATGAGAAGAGACGACTTCCTGGAAAAGACCTTGATGTTGGGAAAGATTGAGGGCACAAGGAGAAGGGGACGACAGAGGACGAGATGGTTGGACAGTGTTCTCAAAGCTACCAGCATGAGTTTGACCAAACTGTGGGAGGCAGTGGAAGACAGGAGTGCCTGGCGTGCTCTGGTCCATGGGGTCACGAAGAGTCGGACACGACTAAATGACTAAACAACAACAACAAAGCCTTGTTCAAACCAGGACAAATGCTCAATGGACAGGTCATCTGGGGGAGCCCTTAATTATTTCTGCTTACCAGCTCTGTGCTGCGATAACCTTTGATTCCATGCAGAATTGGACATTAGAATGAGGCCACTCCTGTGTATGAATTCCTGCTTTCCGGTGTAAAATTCAGTGCCCAGGACTCATAGATATTACTCAACATCATCTCTATGCACCAGATTCTCCAATGGTCCTCTCTGCCTACATTCCCAACATGCCAATTTGGCAGCGTAAATTGGCTCCTAGCATACAGGAGTTATTTCAGAGGAGTCTTTCATGCTCAAGATCATTCAGTGTAGACTAAAAAAACCCTAACTGTTCTGTCATAGTCACAGTCAGAGCGCTGAAAGAATGGTGAAATAATTATTTCAGTGCCTGTTTCAGGAGACAAGCAGGGGTTCCATTAAATCGCAATCATTACTTGCTGTGGCACCTATTGAACACCTTCGTCTTCCAACAAGTCTTTAAAGTGGAGATCTTTAGCACGGTCTCTATTTGTGTTGGAACTATTTTAAACTTTTTAAGCATATGGGACTGTTTCATTGTTGGGGATGACTTTATACGTGGAACTTTTATACATGGAACTTTTTCTCATGGCATCTACACTTTTCTTGTTTCATGGCTGCAACAGTCCCATTTGTCATATAATTATATATTTTTATTGTCGTGACCCACCCACCCTGGGACCTTATGGTAAAGCGCAGGAAAGAAACCTATTTTAAAAACAACAACAACTGAATAAATTTGGGGCACAATGGAAGCAGCCCAGTGCTGCAGGGGAAAGCTCGATGTTTCAGGTGTCATTGTGAGGGCAGGTCACACAAAGGCCATATTCACACCCTGCATGTAAAATGCTTTGATATACCTTTAAACAGTCATGGCTTCCCCCAAAGAATTCTGGGAGATGTAGTTTGTTAGGAAAGCCCACTTCTGTTGGAGCCAGCCGTTACAAATGGCGCAGTTTAGCATAAAATAAAGATACAGAGAGCCAGCAATATTTTCATGATGGTATGAGCAGCTCCTTTCGAACTTCTCTCTCCTCCTGTAGCTTCTTTATTATCCTTTGTCTCTCTCCAGCCGCATGGCCGTTTGCCAATGTCTCACGTTACCTCATCCGGTCAAGGCTTTTATTGCCCCCATCACCATATAGGGTCATCACTGCCCAGAGGAAACACAACTCCATTTAAGGTCAATACATTCCAATACATTGTAAAGCTCAGAGTGCTGGTCAGCCGAGGTCAGGGGGCACCCTGCAATATTACAAGCCTTTACCGTGGCTTTATGACTCCCACACACTTCCCCTCACAGAACTACAATTCTCAGAGTTCCTTGTGAAGAGGAATTGACTGTTAAACCACTCTTGAAACCATAGCTGTGTGGGAAATAATGGGACTTGAAAGAACTCTCAGCACCCTTAACAAACTGCTTCCATAAATCTTTGAGAGGAGCCATTTGGACCCTGCTTCAGATAGCAGAATGCCCCAGGTTGGCATTAGAGAAGAGACTGGGTCATCAGATACAAAATTTCACAAAACTAGGATCTAAAATTAGCCTCAGAGCAGTTTTCTCTCCCATTCCTCCTGGCTGCATCTGTGTCTAATCTAAACTCGCCTTGGAAGGAAGACACTGTTTAGCATCACAACTCAGTTGTATTTCTTGCGCTACAATTTTGCACAAACACTTGCAGCCTGCAGCCAAAAGAATCAGCTGGTTAACTTCAAATCGATATGTGAAATGGATTTCCCACCCATTGGTTCTTGGCTGCCATTGCCCCATTTAGGGTTGCTGGATCACATGTGACAGGGACATTAGCTGTCACTAGTGCCCAAATTCCCCTAATGAGGTCTAAGCTTACACTTACAACATGCAATGTACGCATGTGGTCCTAGTAAAACCATTGCCCATTATGGGTAACTTTCAACATATGTTTTGATTTAGCCACTGTTCAGGGCAGAATCTGATACCTGAGGAAGGTTATGTTCTACCACTTGAAGAGGCGCTTCTGATTTTGAAAGTGGCATCTGCTCTACCTACTAGGCAATACCGTAAAACCTGGCATCTGTTGACTTATTTTCACCCTAGAGCACT